CATTCAATTTATAGATTAGAAATAGCTCTTTGATCCCATAGTTTCAATTCTTCCTGCACCAACTTCTGGTGCCAAAGTAACTCTTTCAGCTAACTTGATCTTTAAATGAATAACCTTCCTTCTCCTTTATTTAACAAGGAGCTGTGTGATATATTTCTGCCCAATCCAACACTTCTCTCCAGGCCTTTTCTTATGTGACAAGTGACTTGAAATCTGCTGAATATTTTTCTCTAGTTTGCTTCTTCCTACCTACACATCTGTCCTCCCCCATAGGACTGGGTGCTGAGATTTGCATTTCATTCTCTAAGTTGTCTCTCACAAATACCTGTCTGTACTCTCTTAAAAAATTTAGGTTGGGGTAAGTTGGGTTCTAGCCTTAAGTGACTAGAATGTATCCCACATTGGAAATAAGATCTCATTTTAGTTTTGTTCTAATTAATAATATTGACTGGGGCTCCCATTGTTCTAGAAAAATGACTATTAAGCTATGGATTTTATTCTTAGCATTTTCTATTCAAAAAAGTGTTTCAATTTCCGGGGGTGGGGGGGTTTGGGTCCTCTTAACAACTTCCAGAATGTACATTACCTTTTTCCCTGACATATGTGTAAGCCTAAGTGGTGTATTTAATTATATATTTTTTTCTCAAGCAGAAGTAATGATATATTATTATATTATATATAATATATATATTATTATTATATAATAAATATTATTATTATTATTATATTATTCTCAAGCAGAATAATGATATATTATTGAAAACTACATTTCAGAAAAGCTGATGAAGCAACAACAATTCATCCCCTTGTAGCATCCATCTGGATGCAAATCCACCAAGCTCTTAATTTCTTAAGGACAGGGGCTACCTTACTTCACTTTCTGTCCCCAAGACTAAACATGGGATGGGTGCTAATAAATACTTATTAGATAAACAGGCATGGATGTGGTTTAGTCTTCATAGGCCAATGCTTTGGCATTGCCACTTTCTGGCTGCAAACAGGTAATAGCTATGGAAAAGCTAGATGAGGAACAACATTTAAGAATAAGGATATACTTTTCTTCTAAAGTCAATGCTAATGACAACAATAGAATATTAGAAGCATCAAACTATAAGCTATTCTGTTATAGCTGGCAAAGAGGATATTTTAATCATCTTAGAGAAATAAAAATTGAGACCTTTTGATTTTATCTCTTACCCCATTATGCCAAAAAATTTGTGCTCCTATCTAAAAATTCTAGTCTATGTGCTGTGGGGATGAAGAATATCTGACCTTCAACCTTTACTTTGGAGTTGTGTTTAGGTTATTTTGTTTTATTTTGTTTTTTTGTTTTGTTTTTTTTAAATAGAAACTATTTAGACCTTAGAAACTATTTTAGACCTCTTGTCACAATTTTCTTTATCCAGACAAATAATCCCATTACTCTTCCTCAGTTTCCACTGCTTCTGTAATCAGGATTGCTTCTCTCTAAATCCAGACTGAGTTTTCCATTTCTCTCTTTAACTGTAGAGCTTAGGACCAAACTGGGAGAATGATGTTGTAAGGCTCAAACCAGTGATAAAAATGATAGGAGGATTAATCTCAAGGCCCTAATCCTATATGCTTACTTACGTTATCACCATGTCTTTGGAAACTTAATTTGTGTGCTATCAAGTGTCCTTCAGTAGATGTTGGCAACTCTCCAACAATTAAGTCTGTGTGTGTGTATGTATGCATATGTAAACACACATATATTAAATACATTTATTTCTATATATTTATGTACATATCTGTGCTCCTATGTAATCCTATGTAAACTGTAAAATCACATCGAATACCTATATTTAAAATGTTATGTATACACAAAGACATGCAAATGATATATCCACACATATACAATTTATAAACATCTTTCTTATCCAATTTTCAACTTCAGCTGTGAAGAAAATGAAAACATTTTAAGAAAAACAAGATAAAAACATTAACTCACATGGGTTATGACAAAAATAATAAATATTTAGAATAAGTTATCTAGTTCCTAACACTGCATACTGACAGAAATTTTTAAGACTTATTATTTTTCCCTCAGTCAAATGTTTCCTAGCATGCCCTCTTGTTATTTGAGAGTAAAAGATGTAGATATTCTAAACAGCTAGAAAAAATGTTTCTGTCATGCATTAGAGCAATTTCTGTGTATTTTTAAGTGGACATTGAAGAGTTACAGTAAATTATAGTGAAAACTTTGTTTTTCGAGTTTTTTGTTAGTAGTAGATATTCTATGAGGGAATCTTCCAACACAAACATTTAACCGAGACGATGATGAATTCTAATACACAACTAATTTCCCTCCCCCAATACCCAATGAAGTCAAAAGTCCCAGCACACACACGCACGTGCACGCACGTACACACACACACACACCAACCATAGCAACCAAAGAAAAGAAAGCAGTCAATTGCAAACAAAAAAAAAATCAAAATAGATGTTTCTGGAATAGAGGAGAAAGGCAGAGCAGAATTTAGGTCCTTATCTGTCCTTAAACACCAGAAACTGCCCTGGACTTTGGGGAAAAGCCTAAGAATTCTCAGTAATACCTCCAAAATTGAATCAATGTGAAACCTATGGAGAGTCCTATGTTTTTCCTTCCTTTTCTGATTGAGGAGAAGCTGCAGTGGCTATCAACCTGAGGACCAGCCCCTCCCCTACAGAAGGGAATAGGATATGGAACCAGCCAACGAAGCTGGGTGCTCTCAAAGAGGCCGAATGTTGCCTCAACTGAACTCACTCCCTGACCATTCCTGCTGGTTATTAAATAATTAATAAAACCTGAAATACCCAGCACTACAAACTGGAGCCCAAGGGGTCTCAGGCAGCGTGGTAAATAAGTCTAGAAGTAATTTCTGCTATATTGGCACAAATAGTGTCTGGACAGAGTCACCCACACATGAGCAAGATAAATGACACACATGGGAAATATGGAAATATATTATCGGCAACAATGAGAGAGACAGAGGGTGGGGCAGGGAGGGAAAAGTGGGGGGAGGAAGAGAGAGAAACAAAACACTCAACCCAGAAGAAAATCTAAGGGGAGAAGCAGACATAAATTTCTTAAGTTGTTTCACACAATGGATTTACTTATTATGAAAATAAATTCAACAACACTAGAGGTCAAAGACTAGATGAAAAACAACAGAATGAAATGAAAATGAAGGTAGCGGACCTAAGGAAACAAATCAAGGGGCAAAACAACATCATTAGAGAGCCAATATATAAATTAGAAAGTACAAGTAACATAATAGACACCACTAAAAACCAAATTACCGATGTGTTGGAAATGAGATAAATGCAGTGAATGCAGATGAAAAAGGCAAAGAGACTAAAGTAATTAGGAAAAGCTTGTATAGAAAGAGGCCAAGCAAAGATGATTTAATATTGAGATAACTGGCATTCTGATGTAGCAAACTCACAAATGGAACAGAAGATATATTCAAAGATAAAATAATAGGAAATTTTCCCTAAAAAAAAAATCTGAAGTTTTAGATTGAAAGACTATCCCATTTTCCTGGGAAATTGAATGTATAATTCTCAATAGTAAGACATATCTTATTTGAAATATTGAATCTGGAGGATAAATAATTATTTGAACATTCAACAGATCAAAACACATCTACAAGGAATGAGGGGAATCAGAGGAATGAGGGATCAGATTCCCATATAGTAATATCCAATGTTAGAAGATAATGAAGCAATATTACCCAAGAATATTATATACAGTTGTTTATTTACAAAGCCATAGTCTAAATTACGAAAGTGCTCAGAAAATATAGCACTTGCTAAAGTAAGTCTGACAACAAAATCCAGGCAATTAAGAAGAGTACCATCAAAATGAAAAGATAGGCATTGTGATAAAAGGACTGGTGATGAATATTGAATATAACTCTATACAGAAATAAAAGTAAACACAGTGGAAATAATGTTTACTGAAGAGAAGTCAATTGTCATAAATGTGAAAAGGATACAACTAATACCATAACTACCAAAATCAGAAGGTGGGGGAATGAGAGGATGGATGAGACTGCTAACCCCTCATGCTAACCCCTAGGTGCTATCTTTCACAGCAGGAATTTAATCAATTATGCCTTTAAATAAAACATGAACTTTAAAAAACAGTATCTGTAGCTGCATCACATTGTTATAAACATATTTCTACCTAAGTATCCAACTATTTATATACGTAGAAGGATGTATGGAATACTGAGATTTGGGATGATTTTTAAATCACATGGGTTATTTTCACAAAATTATAGAGTGATTCTTCTAAAACAATTTTTAAAAGACTCTAGAAGTAAATATTCTAAGATGTACAGTGATTATGGAAGTATGGATATATCTTCTTTCTTTTTTTGTATTTTAAAAAAATTTCAATGATTAAAAAAGATATTAATTAAACATTTACCTTCTGGGAGGGCTCACTATGATAGCTTTAAATAATAGGACCCACTGGAAATTCAAGAGCTTGTATAAATATACACATGATATAAATAGCAAGTAAACATATTTATCCTTCTTTTCTTTTCCTTTTATCCTACCTCTTCACTGGGTCTTGGAAGAACTTCAGAGAAACTCTTGTTGCTGGTGACAACAGTACATAAACCCTTAAGGGAAATCACGTGGCGGTAAGAGCAACACCAGGTTTCCTGTATCAAATTTGGTGAAGGATAATATATTTCCTATGTATTTCCTATATACAGGATGATCTGGGGAAAACCACTGTATGAGAAAAAGGAGAATCAGGAGAATCAGGAACAACCCTGATTCTGGCTCTACTAAAGGTCAGATTATGGACACCAAGCAAGTAACTGAACTTTTCTTGACTTCAGTTTCTTACTTGAAAACTTAGAAGGTTAAATTGGAATCCAATCATTCAGGTTCTTTGGAATCTCTTCACCAGTTGCTGGGGAGGGGATGGTGATGATGTTTCTCTCCAATGCTTTAATACCTTCAAGGAAAATAATGCTGAGACAGGCTGGGACCTGGGCCCTCGGACCCTTTGCTGCAGTAAGGGCACCTGGACAAACCTCTCCTCGAGCAACAGAATACAAGGAAACTATAAGGGACTAAAAATAACTGTGCATGGGCAGTTAGGGCAAAGTCTGGACAAGAAGATATAAAAAGACCAAAAGAAAAAAAATCCAACTGCCACTTCTGAAGAGCCAGGAGCAAAGACAGGGTGTTGGGAGTGAAAGCAGGGTACTGCACATGCCCCTGCACTCAACACCACCAAAGGGGTGGGGAGATCACCTAAGTCACCCCTCCAGCTCGACCGCGGGACACACCCCTTACTCACCACATATAAGGAACCATCCCACACCCCCTAGGGGAGCGAGCTAGGGAATCTGTTATTTGTTTTCACTCCCCCTGCTACAATAGGGGCCCCAGTAAAGCCTTGCCTGAATTTCTTGTCTGGTCTCTTATCAAGTTCTATTGATTGGGGAAGGTCAAGAACCCTGGTCGGTATCAATGCCACTGTATATAATGAGCTTCTATATTAACTCGAAGCTTCATGAGAACATTCTCTGCTACTAAAACAAAGAAAGTAAATTATCCCCAAGCCCTTTTTTTTCACCCCCGCTTTAAAATTCTGGTGAGTCTAACCCGTCAGTATATTTAGCTGGTCCAATGCTCTTCAACATGAACAGTTTACATCAAGTTGATTTAGAAAAGAAGAGGGAAAATAAGTTGTCAATTTGCTTTTTATTCAACCATTAAAATAATATTTGAATCAATGCATTGCTTAAAACAATAAATACCAACATAAGTATCTCAAGTATCTTTGAGTCACTTGAGAAAGTTACTCAAAGACAGGTCAAAGGTAATTAGTTCAATGTCTTGCTGTAAAATGACAGTATTCCTTTCATACTAACACTCACATATGGCTTTTAAGATTACTTGGTGTAAGAGTACTTCCAGCATTGATTACATTCCAACTTTCAGATTTTATCTGCCTTTTTCATTCCTGCATTTTGGCCTCATGAGACCTTAGCTATTTCCCTACAGATAAGACCAAGCTCCATGGTAATTTCACTGCTTTACAAACATGGATTTCAGAAACCATGGAGAAGGGGTGTGTGTGTGTGTGTGTGCATGTGCACTCGCACACGTGCATGTGTGTTAGGATTTATAAAATCTCACCACACAGATAAGCCATTTGTAAACCTGAATGACTTCTTGCACAGTAAACGAAAATGGTCTTTTTAAACATTTCGCCTGATAGTTAAAAGCAAAAAGGAATGCTTACAAAATGTGTGTGTAATTCATAGTGGTAAATTGGGTTAAAAAATTCAGAACTCAGAAAGTTCATTTTAGTTAGGAAGAATTGGTATCAAATTTTAAAATGCAGTGTATTGAGGGCAAATGATAAAAGCATGCATTAGATTAAAAACAGCAAAACCTACTACACGTTTAACACAAGTTTATATCAAAAGAAATCTAGGAATTTTTGTTGACTGCTAAGAATCCCAATTCTATTTTTATTTATTTTTTGTAAATGGAATTATATTTAAAAATCAGTACATAAACAATAAAAACAAAATCATTTGCTGTATATAAAACTGGGGATCACCAGTCCTGGGAAAGCAGTTGTTCAACAAATGTCTTCTGGCTCTAGGTTTGAGACCAGCAGGAAGAAGAATTTCTTTCTGATTCCAGTGATTATCCTGGCACTTTTGAAGAATTCCACTTTTAAAACCCTGCCCTGGCCTTGCACTTTGGAGGATCCTGAATATCATAAACATGTATATGTATGCATGTGTGCATGTATGTGTGTGAGTGCACATGTGTGTGTGTGATAAGGGATGTATTGCTACCTTTATCACTTGCGGTCTGGCAATCAGTGCTGGCATAGAACAGTGTTTAACCCTAAACTTCCTCTCCCATGACTAACACTCTTCAAACCTCAGGGAAACACTTCATTCCCCTCCTAAAACTCACCAAATACAACAGTCAAAATGTAAGGCTAACGCAGAAGTTCTTGCATTTTTGACCATGCATTTCATAGTGAAACCTTCTTACACCCAAAGGCTCTTTGGGAAATGGTTGGAAGGAAAAGTTCAAGGAAATATTTTATGTAATGTTTCAAACTTTACAGAATCCCTTCTATTCCTTCTCATTTGCAGAAGTAGTTGCATAGCTTAACATATGACTCATCAATTACAAGCAAACTGTTTAGAAAACTTATAATCCATCTACTGATTCTGATTAAAATTATATATATATATATATATATATGTGCTTCTCAGAAGCTTCTAAAAAGTACTTGGCAGATTTTCATACTTGTCATTCATATGTATCTCATGTTTGTTCGTGTACATACATATAATTCCTGTTTATATGCCAAACGAAAGCAGTCATATAAACCAACACAAGTCTTTACTTTGTGACATATATCTATACACCTCAAACATCTATATTCTATGGCCACATACATGCCCTTGTATCCTGTTATACCTACTGACATGCCTATAACAAAAGTGCAACCTGCAATCTGAACATTCTGTTTTCATGTGCACAAAGCTGATACAAGATTTCTGCATTGTGGAAAGAAAAATAAATCCACCAAGCTACAAGTCAAGTCACAAGTTAGACAAGAAGGAGCCACTTTTTGTTTGTTTTTGCTTTTTAAATAAACCTGAACTTCAGGTAGAGTAGAAATGTAGGCTGGGAGTACTTTGAGGAGAGAACTCTGTCTAATTATTACTTACTATATATCCTAAAACACAATGAATGCTGAATAAATGCTGATTTGATTGATTGACTGATGGGATCCATAAAGGATACAGATCTAGTCCACTTCTAGTCTAGAATTCTGCCCTTGCCGCTTAGTGGTTATGGGATTTTGGGTCAATTAATTTCACCTCTCTTAGTCTCCGCGTCTATCTGTAAAGTGAGCATACTAATAACTATCAAATAAAGGTTACCTTAAGGATAAGAGAGAATCCTATAAAACTTCTGTCCTAATAACAGTATTGTATAGATGTTATGGGCTAAAGGTTTATGCTTCCCCCATATTCACGGGTCGAAGCCCTAACCTCCAAAGTGATGGTATTTAGAACTGGAAGGTAATTACTTTGGGAGGTAATTAACTTTAGATTAGGTCATGAGAATGGGACACTGAGAATGGGATGCTCTTGATGGGATTCATGCCCTTATAAGAAGTGGAAGACAGAGAGATCATACACAAGCACAAAGAAGAGTTCACATGAGAACACAGCAAGATGGTGGCTAGCTGCCAGCTAAGAAGAGGCCCTCACCAAGAACCAAATCTGCTGGTATCTTAATCTTAAACTTCCCAGCCTCCAAAAAATATGAGAAATGAATGTCTGTTGTTTATGCCACCCAGTCTATGGTATTTTGTTACAGCAGCCCAAGCTAAGACAATAGCAATTATATATACATATTACTAATACCAGTAATAATCAAATCCTAAAATATCAAAACTGAAAGAGAACTAATTGATTATTTGTCCCAATTTCTTAACTTTACAAATGAGAACATGGAGAACAGGGACTGGTCTTGTACTTTGTTTTATCCCTGGCACCTAGCTTCATGCCTTAGAGTCACTCAAATATTTGTTGACAAGTACGTGAATGAATCAAAAGATAGTAGCATTAAATGTTAACAATGATCTCAGATATGTTTGTTTGTTTTTGCTTTGGGATTGCATAACCTGACCATCTCTGGAGATCGATCTGTTTCCCAAAGTAGAACTCTGACATAAGGCATTTTCCTTTGTTTCTTTTTATTTTTTGTTAGCCTTCATTTCCCATACTTTCCAAGTGACAGATAATATAGAATATTTTCACACAACTTTATCTCATTGAATCTTTTAAAACATCCTTTCAAGTGTTCTCATCAGTTCTAATTTTACAGATGAAGCCAACGAGACTCATGATGGCTAAATGGTCTCCTCCATATTGTGAACCCATAAGTGGAGGGTCAGGATAAAGCCCAGCTCTGCTTGACTTCAAAGGCTGTGCTTTCAAATAGCACCATGTGGTTTTCTTACCTTATCAGAGGTTACATTTGTTGTTACCTATTCATTGTACTTTCCATACCAGTGTGGTTTCATTCCTTCAGAGTTGGTAAGTTTTAAGAGTTCAGGCTCTTAAGTAACACCTTCCTGTAATCTTCTACTCAAAATTTATGATAAAAACTCTTAAGAGACCAGGAGGAATAGATGTAACATGGTAACAGAACAAGGCTGTGTAAATACTGTTCATGACTGTAAACAACAAAACCATGTCAGGTTTTAGTTTAGTTTTGTTTTGTTTTACTGGTTCCCCCCTGCCCCGACACTCACATATAGTCATATAGTGACTTATTAAAAGGGCAGTTAAGTAGGCAATATATTAAGTATATTACATATTAAATATATATATACTTAAAAGATTTTTTTGATGTGGATCATTTTTAAAGTCTTTATTGAATTTGTTACAATATTGCTTCTGATTTTTTGTTTTTTGGTTTTTTGGCCGTGAGGCATGTGGGATCTTAGCTACCCGACCAGGGATTGAACCCGCACCCCCTGCATTGGAAGGCGAAGTCTTAACCACTGGACCGCCAGGGAAGTCCCTTAAATGTATATTAATATATTATATTATACATAAATATATATTTACATATATTAAAATATATCAAGTAGGCGATATATCAGTTACATGGGAAATATGTGTTGTTTCTTTTTGTACCTATGCTCACTTTCAATTGATTCCTTATCACCTTTCTTCTTCAACTACTCATTGTCAGTTCTCTTATCCTTGAACTTCTCCTAGCTGTACTTGATGCCATTTGCAACTGAATCTAAATTAGAATGCAAACCCAGGGATGGCTACACTTGAAGTTTCATCTCTTACTGTAGCACGGAACAACTTAGGCATCATTGGTTGAGTTGGCAATGCTTCTTTGAGTAAGGGGTCTTTTCTAATGTCCCCCAAATCATTTACTCTGTCTAAACAGAATGTCAGCTCTCCTGTTTGAAACTGATGAAAAAAATAACCAAATGTTTCCTGAGTCTTGAAGGATTGATAAGGACCCTGCTCTACTGTTTGCTTGAAAAATCCTCCTTGAAAATGCATATCAAGTTTGGACTAAACTTTCTTTCTGAAAAGCT